GAGAGAGAGAGAGAGAGATGGCGGGGGGGAGGGGCAGAAACAGAGACGGAGAGACACAGAACTACACATAGTCATCTATATATCAAATCTCCGTTTTTAGGGACATTTTCTTCTGTGTGTAGTATCACACAGAAGGCCAGATCAACGTGAAAGTATCAAAATCATTAATCAAATTATCGGACGTATTGTTATTACATTTTTGTTGTAAATGATATCATTTTAATATTATAATCATCATTATCACCGTCATTATTGATAATACTATTAGTAATAGTAAAGGCAGTTTGCACAAATCTTCCTCGCTTCACCCAGGTGGAAATCGGTACCCGGCTATTGACAGTGAACGATCTTGTCAGTTTGATAGTGTTTGAGCTCGTGAAATCGGCAGCTTGCACTGTATGCTTCCACGGAAGCCGAAAATGTTACTGAGTTTTCTCAGAGGGTCTGCTGGGGTAATAATAGTTGTAAAGCGCATAAAGCATGCTCTTGAGCATGGATATGCGCTATATATATGCAATTATTTTTATTATCAATATGCAATGCCTCTTCATTGAAGTTTAAGTTCAGAAATAAAAAGAGATTTCAATTTTATGAAACCTTCTTTGACTGTACCCGTCATTGACACATAAGTTCCAGACACACTCGAAGATTCGGTCAAAAATGCATACATGCAAATTAGAACTGATCCAAACGAACATACTCGCACACATACTCCATTGCGCTTATAGATGCCACTCATTTACATTCGTATTCCGGTATACCCTTTACAACGAATAGAGGCTATCAGAAAAAAACACTACTTCTTACAAAATCTACTCCTTCTCTTTTTTCTTCTTATTTTGTTATTGTTGTTTTTTAAACTGACTGTCCCTGTCTCTGTCTCTGTCTCTCTCCCTGTCTGTCTCTAACTCTCTCTCTCTCTCTCTCTCTCTCTCTCTCTCTCTCTCTCTCTCTCTCTCTCTCTCTCTCTGTGTGTGTGTGTGTGTGTGTGTGTGTGTGTGTGTGTGTACCTCTGTCTCTGTCTCTCTATACCTCTCTCGCCTCCACTCTTTCCTGTCAATAAGACACTCGTAATTTATACGCCTTAGAAATATACGAGCTGACACATGCAGACTTTCTCTCTCTCACACGCACGCACACCCCCCCCCCCCCACACAAAGACACACATACAAACATACACACACACATATTCACACACACATACACACACACACACACACACACACACACACACACACACGTCACACTGAATGTTCTTGTGAAGGCGTTATAATATACCTAAAAATGATGGGTAATTTTAAATTCCCCCTCCCCCTCCCCCCTCCACACACGCAGAGAAACACAAAAACACACACACACACACACAAAAAGTAACACGCTGTCAAACACACAAACACACACACAGATAAACCCACACAAATACGTATACACATACTTAAATAAACGCAGGCACATACACGCGTAAGGGTTACAAAGCTGACATACTCCCCCAACTCCGTCTCAAACACACCCACCCTCATCCCCGCCCTTTATACCAACCTCCAAACCCTCCAACAATATGTCGGGAGACCGGCTGTTAACGAGAGCGTGGTCGGCGATATTATCAGCGACAAGACATTCCCCGTTCCCGTCTCGAAGACAAGAGTTGTCACTGGGAAATGGACGTGTCAAGGAAGGTGAGTCGGGTGAGCGACCCTACCACGTCCAGCGCTCATCAATAAACATGTGAGACAGCGTCGAGTGGCCACAGACGGGTGCTAAGGGAGGACTTTGAAGTGCTACTTCAAACTTGGGGGTGAA